ATGGCACATTGAGCTAACAACTCCCTTGAGTTGGGTGTCCGTGGATCAACTTAATAAGGTTAAGTGGTGAGAGTGTATAATACTGACGAATTATCACTCAAACGGGAAATTGTAGTTGCAAAACAATTGAAAATCAAAAATAATACAATAACAGTCGAATTACAACTGTATTCGTAATAGATAATCCTCGCAAGTCATTTTTATAGTAAGGGGCTAACACACCATTTATAATGGGAAAGTGTTAGGGTTAAGTATTACGAATCGTACTGGGATCTACAGTTGGGCTTTAAAATTGGGGTTAGTGTTTTCGACCCAAATAGACACAATCTTTAATCCAGTGCTATGCCACCTTTCTGTTAACAGTTTGAGGAACTTATGGTTGAGATTTAGAGCCAAAGTAAGAAAAGGAACATTATCTATCTTCTCTAAGCACTCAATTACTCAAGGAATGACATCAAGTACTTGGACATACGATCTGCCTTAAGAGCAATTTGGCTTAAGTGCCATCTAAAATTCACTTTTTGCTTGCATACTAGATATTTTCACTAACTTCAGACATTTTAAGAGCCGGATATTCCTAGTTTTCACTTGGCTAGTATAACATGTACGTTATCTATCACTTTACTTTACACTTCGCACTATCTTAATCCTGGCTAACTTAAAGCCGTTAGCATATTTACTCTCACCGGTTTTTATTTATTTATTTAAACACATAAACATTAGTACAAGGAGTCAGCAAATAGATATGCGCCACATAAATCATTCGATTTGTGTAAGGGCTGGAGTACTGCCCGGGTGCACAAACCGAAGCAGGTGGTTTTCTTCAGTGGCCACACCCAGAGCCTTCGACCTAAAGATATAATACACAAGGCAGTGGAGCAGCGTAAGAAGATGCAGTCCCATGGTAGCCGGTGACTAACAATAGGTTCATACGCCATTTGCTCCCTCAGGACCCCGGGGCCCATGTGGAGCAGTGGTTTAAAACCAGGGTTTCCAAATCCCTTCGAGTCCACCAATCTCGTTGAAACTCCGGACATTGGCTTTTCGTCTTCTCAATTTTGTAAACAACAGTAATACGCAAGAAGGTAGTGAGTAGAATTTCCCTGGCAGTGGTTGTATGCACATGGCCATGTGAGAGTGTTTTGAGAGGGAGAGCTAACTCTCAGCCGTACCAGGGCATTTGCAGATAAGTCAGTGTGTATTATGGAGCGTCCAACTCCGATATCAGCTGTTTAGTTTTTGACGAGGTTATCAGACGTTGCAAATCCCAAGGAACAAAGAGTCTATTATTTATACCTAGCAAACTTTTCAGGTAGTGTCAGTTAAAGTGATAGGGAAAAAGATGTGTTTGCCCTAGTCGAATTTTGACTACATGTCCTTGTAATGTATCTAGATTTTTAATCGAAAATAAATGTCTTGTTTTGATGTCTGCTCATATTTAATGTTCTCTGGATGCCTTCAGAAGCTTCAGATTTTGATTTAAGTAGGCGTTGGTGAAACTTCTTTCTAGAGTATTGCATTGTCATAATAGGGACAAGTAATCATTTAGTGCTTTCGGTTGGAACGAATAAAATATCGTCTACCTGCTTCTTTGAAAGCTGGCAATATTCGTGGGGTCATTTAGACATCTCCGATCACAGCAGAAAGGAAAATCGGCATAGTATATCTAATAATTGACCTCGCAGAATAATATCCTTTGGAGGCCAACAATATACTCTTGTGTGAGTGAAATCGTAAACAAGTGCTTGTGTTTGTACTATTTTCATAATTCGAAAATAACACTGTATCTATTCGACTTGGGTTTCGAAATAATCCCTTAATTTGTGTGACACACTGGTTACTGTTGTGTGTTCTCATACAGAACTCTGTCGAAAGCACTTGCCAGTACTATTAGCTCAGCCTAGACTCAATAAACTCTATGGGTTCTTTCGGCTGTTCGTATTTTATGGTTGATAAAAAGCCTTTCTGAGTTGTTGATTATGCCGAAGCCCAGTTAGGCTGTTCAGAATAACACTCGAGTTAAGTACTTTTCGCAACTCAGTTACATAAATCTTACATGTGTTAATTTCTTGCGGAGTTTTAATGTAAAATCGCAACTACTTTTCTTTGTTGTTAGTTTTGTAACTGAACCAATCAATATTTGAGCAGTACCAAAATCAGACTAGTGTTAAGGATATATCTTTACCGGCCACGTTATTTTTCTTGTGCTTAGTTGTTCTAGGAAAGTTGTTTGCTTTCAGAACGTTTCCCAGTGAAGGTTTGACTCGAATTGTGATCTTGAGTGCTGTTGGAAGTACGAGGGTGGTTATCACACCCCGGTTACCTACACCGTGGAAGGGTTTTCTGTAGGTACCTGAAAAGGAAATTGAATTAAAGGTGGTCTTAGAGACCTAAGAGTGTGACTGCAGTGTCCAAGGGACGACTGCTTGAGTTCGGTCACACACGACCTTTTTGTGGGTAATTTTCGTGTTAGCTTTGTACTTGTTGAGACTTACCTCTGGAGACGGATATCCATGGGATAAGGCGAGACGTGCGTTTTCAGGGTCGACCTTTTCTAACCCCACCCCTTCTCGTGGGAAGGCAGCATCGCTGTTATACTGGTTGTCCGAAGGAAACACCTGATTGCCGTCACGCCTCTGTACAGTCAGCAGTACGACTTCGCTCTCAAACCTTTGGTTTACTGCTTTTAGTACGACCGCTCTTCAACCGACTTGTCTGGCATGGTAGGACATTGAGAAACGATTGTTCCAGCCAGTATAGCTCGATTGGTTCTTCATGATAGGCAAGCCCGATCACCACGTCAAGGTAGCAACAATGGTCGTATGCCTGAACACCGATTACTACGACGCGCAATGCTGACTAGTGCAGGGGATGGTTGGAAGAAAGTTAGGGGTGGCTAAACCAAAACGTGGCATCAGTCCATAAAGTCGCTAACTTCTGGTCTGAGCCATGTTTTCAGATGCAGACTACTCGGTTGGGATCCGTGTGGCCATCCCAACCAATGGTTGGAAACTCTAGGTGACATGGCTCAGAATCGATCATAATGGTGTCGGTGTATGTATACACTCTCTGTTTTCCTTTAAAATATGAGATTAAAATTGCTTCATATCTTTCTTTCTACGAACTGATTCTTTATTCCTGTACTACGTCCTTATATGCAATCGTCCTTTAATATATTATTCCCGCTGAATTAACTACTTTTATGAATCCGGTGTTCATCTTGTTGTGCTAATGAGGTATGGCAATTCGGACCGATACACGTATGTGCCTGGTCCTACGGTGTAGCTGGCTGACTTTGACTCTAATAATCTAAATAAGCCAAAGAAGTACATTTATTTTCCATGCTTTATTGTCATACTACATGTTATATTTGAGGACACCTAGTCCTCTAGCGCCAGTTACATCCTTAGTTGTACTGAGGGCAAATGTGAGATTCTGTAAAATCTATCAACATCTTATTTGATAATCTTGCGAGGTTAAGCGATGGGAATAACAAAGATCTAATACGAGGGTAGGCAGAAAATCCATGGTCTTTTATGCGTTTCTTAACATCACATCCATACTTTTATATTTACCAGTGTTCACAGAAGTACGTTTGTCGGGTTCTGTGTATTGATCATACAAGAAAGCTTGCATTTCATAAACGGCTTGTTTTCGTATTGAAACAGTTAGCTTGTGTAAAGTTTATGTGGTAATTATAATTTTCAAAACCTTGTGATTTTTTTCCGCATTATTTCTGACAGTTCGCCACATGTGCCTTCGTAGTGTTTTATATACCGCAATGGTTAGTAAATCAGTAGAAGATACTGATGCACTCACTGGGTACTAAGAATATCATTCCTATAAGTAGAAAGAATTTAATAAGAAAATAATATCGATGCCACGTTACATGTGATCATAAATTTTTTTGTTGGGCTTCATGTATGAACTGATAAAAAGGTGATGACGTGTTAGAGATTAGAACTTCTTCGTCAACCTTTTCGAGCAATCGTAATTTAATATTTATTGACTGAAAGCACGTTTATATACTTTGCTTTGAGTTATACACTTTTTTGAGGGACAATAGTATTACCCGGTTCTCCCAGCTTAACTGGGTAGAGGGGAATTTGAAACTGTGACCTAGCGACTGGAAGCACACCACCTTAGCTAGTAAGCTTCCAAAGATAATAATAAATAGTTATCATCAGAAGAGTATAAGGACAGTTGGAATTTCTGCAATTTTCAGTAACCACTTGCCACTCGACATCAGTATTTTTCTACACAGATAGGATTATTGTTGTTCTTCCTACTTTTCATGAACAGGTTTATGATTCCATAATTTGAACACCAGTTCATTGATTCGGTTACAACTCCCACCTCACTATCCTTTATTTAATGTTGGCATCCTAGTAGTATTATCTTCTACGTATAAGATACAGATAATATGCCGGTATACAAGGCTTTTTTAGTCTTCAAAATACATTGGTCAAGTAATTAAGTCTGACACAAACAAATTCCAGGTTTTCGGAACGATAATTTTATACGAATCCTGGGGACTTATTTATGTTAATTTTTTCTACTAAATTCTCTTTGAATGAAACGATAAGTTTGCTTGTCATACGTCAATTAAAGCGTGATTGGTTGGTATAACTGTCATTGTTTCGCTTATATTTGTTCAGTTTTGAGAAATTTATCCTCAATTAGAAATGGTAGTTGATTTCTTATTTATAAGAACTTATTCTTGGGGTTTAGATGGTCTAGATATTAAAAGTATTCTGTAAAATTTCCTGTTCAGTAAAAAAAATCATTTTCAATGGATTTTCAGTTACTGTATTTCAAGCTATTACAAACTTATACAAAGTTTGGATTCGATTTTTATTTTTCCATTCTGAAAGTGTAATTGTACTGTTGGTTTCGTTACTCAGTAGTTCCATGGTTTCATACGCTAATACTATTCCTGGTAGTTTATCTTAAAACTGTTTATTATTTTTTTTATTTCAAGCAATTACTACTGATTTAACATGAGTAACTCAGTGTTAGAAATGAATTTCGTTCGTTTACTATACTGTACTGAATGTCTAGCAGCACAGAAACAATTAGGAACCACATTCAAGGACTACGTAAAAACTCTTGAAACATTTTTTAATACATTGACTTCATCAAATCATCGTCCTTCTCCAGAGAATATACGTAAATATGAAATAAGGGTAAGTTCATTGGCATTTATTTCAATATCTTATCTGTCTTACATTTATCAATAACTAATCATTTCCTGTGGGATTTTAATGGTCTAACGGTTCTCGTCAAGTTACCAAATAAATATGGTTCATGTAGTTGAGACTAATCAAAATATACGTATAATAACGCGCTTTACGAATAGTAGACCATATTTATTGATTTGTTGATGTAGATAATTTTCGTAGGCAGGTTTGCTTCATTTGTGTTATAATACAAGTTAAAGCACCTGATTTTTAATTATCCGAACTTAAAACAATCGATGAACAGAAGCAAAGTGAGTTAAAATCTCGATCCATTGATATTTTCAGTTATTATGAAGCATCTCGAATATTACAGTCGAAAATTCTATCTCAAGATCACCAAGAAGCCTTGCAAAGTGAAAACATCCTTGTCCTGCCTGATTAAAGCTCAGGAGTAGTTTTTATAGACAAGGACAAGTATCTGAATAAAGTCAAGATAGTACTGGATGATCCATCAAAGTTTGTGGTTGATCGGGGGAGGACTAAAGGTTTAACTGCGAGGTAACTTAAAGACTCTTCACGAATAAGTTAAAACACTCCCTGAGAAGGAAATTAATCTACAATTGCACACAGTGAACTGAATCAATATGATTCCAAGTCACCTTAAATATATGGTCTACCGAAGGTATATGTTATGACTTGTGAATCGAATGCTACTTTTGTATCTGGTCGTCGCTGATTGTTATGTCGGAATCGCTGACCACTTATGCTCGGAACGAAGGGACCTCCACAATTCCCACGACACGAAAGTAAGAACACAAGACTGATATAAGCGAAGTTTATTAGCCCCAAAACACTATGATGACGACGACGACCTTAGTCGAAAATACACTCATTTATATATTGATTATACAACCATTTCGATTAAGAATTAGAATAAAATCACATATATGTAAAATACTCACAGTTATCACAAATCACATATAGAGCATAGGTCATGTCAACTGAATACAAGAATATCGTATATTACACAGAATGAAATATCATACGAGAAAAGAAAATAAATACTACATTACATTAAATCAAAACAGAAGTAATGTTGAATAAAACTCATAATGAGTAAATCAATCGAATATTGACTTTCTTTCCATCGTATCAGTATATAAATCTGATGTTACTCTTATACCGATACTATCAATGATCAATCCTCCAGTCTATAAACTCATCCGATCGTTAGCGAATCATTTAGGAGCCATTTGTTCGAAATTATTTGTATATAGCTTAAAAGATACCTTTAATTCACTAAAATGCTAGAAAACGTTTTCATTTGATATCTCATTATTATTTACAACAATCCCACTGTATGAACACAGTGGACTTCTTTTGTTAAAAGATAAGTTCAAACAACTCTTATCAATATACACTAAAGGTGTGCATTAATTAATTCAATAACACTTTATATCGACAAGTTGACGGAGTTGTTGTAGATAGCTCATTGGTACCGGTTTTAACAGATATATTTATTGCAAACCTAGAACAAACAAAAATGAAGCCGACAGTTAATGAAACGAAACTGTATATCGATACATTTGTTCTTTGTAATAATTGTACCCACGCTTCACATATATTGAATCTTCTCAAAAAAAGAACACCCTAATATATGGTTTACCATGGAGCAGAAATATGGTGACAATTTTCATCTCTTTGATATGAGTGTTCGACGCGAATTAAACGGTCAAACGGAAAGATATGTCGACTGGAAAGACATTCAAACTAAGATTTATTTAAATTCCGATAGCCTCTGTTCAAGAGGTTACTAAAAGGCTTTAGTTAGAACACTGTTTTATCGCAAAATGAAACTGTTCAGAAGAGATTGAAAAATAATTCAGCATAGTTGAAAAGTGTCTGTGAGATAATGGATATCCACAAAAATTTATCACTAACAATGAGACAGCAAGAGAGAAGGGAATGGAATTTACTACGATAAGGAAAAAGTCAGTGTTTTGACAGCTTAGCATTAGAAACTAGTTTCCGTGTCAAACACATTGCTCATCGAGACAGACAAAAATGAACAAATACCCACCTTATGTTACCACCAATTGTGTTTATCAGTGTACACATTTGTGCCAAAGCACTCACATTCGAAGAACAGAAAAGAGGGTTCTTGTTCACATCTCGGAACACAGTACATTCCACAATAATTGAGATTAAAAGGTCAACGTATTCCCAACAATGCCATCGAAAATAATCAATACCGAAATAATTTCCAACCTACTACGTGACGCCGAAGCCATCTCAATTTAAGAGTTGGGAAGAAACCTGTATACTAAAACGGATACAGTTGTAAATCTCTCACTATCCTGGTAAATTTTATTTTTCATGACACAATTAAGTCACGTCTTATTTCATATTCACAATAATGAATCCCTTTTTGATTCTCAGGTCTTTCTGAGCTTTACTCATCTGACTCTACTATTCTATCAGATTGCATGGTTGTTATTACGCAGGTCTTATGTTGTTTAAGACCGATTAAAGGTTTTGAACCTGGACAGTTATTTGAATCAGAGCTTAAACTTTCATATGAATTCGGTACATCGACTATTACCTGGTAGGATTATTTACTTTCTTAGTTTCTGCTTTTATTGTCATAGCTATGCTAGGTATCACTTTCATCATCTAACTGTGCCAGACATGAATTTAATTCAAACTTCTTTCCACATACTTTTTGGACAGAGATGGCCAATTTTTGTATTGTAAAGATAGTGTTAAGATTCAGTTTTCTGTGACAGTCCAAGAATGTCAATGGTGTTTAATCGCCTTCTAATGATAAAGCGTTTTTCACGTCTGTTCTACATCTCCGTATAGTTTGTTTTATCTTGAATGTTTCTTCAGCTGTGATTGACTGGTTGCTGATATAATCCCGTCATGAATATAATGTACTGATTTGGCTTTTGCTAAGTTACAGGTGATATTTCATTCTAAATATCAGAAGTCAAGTATACCGTACATTGTTCCTTTTACTTTGCAAATGTGGAACGTAGTTTTTTTAAAAGGAGCTCTTCAGTTGTCATCGAATGTTTGTGTATTAAGTATTCTTAGACACCACTAACTCTGAATTTGTATCACTATCGGCACAGTGGTGTGATTAAAACGCTAATAGTCTTCAGACTAAGTTATATCACCCACCAATGGAACCGCTGGTTATTCCTTCAAGCCGTGTAGGAAGCATCAGGTATCCTAAACGAAGTCTACTAATTAATCACCGTCTTATATTGCAGATTTAAATTTATTCAGTAAATATGCACTCCGTGTTTTAAATATCTTTCATTCTCTAATCTCACTTGGTTCCTTCACTATTTTAAATTTTTGAAGTTGTGTGTACTGTTATTTTCGTTTCTCCCTTGTTTGTTCCGTCACTATATGTAATGATGTGACTTCTGATAATATGTACTGCTACGCATATGGAGGGGGTAGTCTTACGGTTAAACTCCTATGCTTTCAACTGTTACTCCGTAGATTCCGACCTCATCCCACCTATTTCGGCTTCAGTGATCAGGTAATATCACTAACCCTCACAGAGTCGATGTAGGAGGAATAATAGGAATTGAAGAGGGAGGTTGACTATGAATACAGTGGTCTTGAGTGCTGTTAGAGGTATGAGGGCGGTTATCACTTCCCGGTTGCCCACACCGTGGAAGGGTTCTTCTGGAGGTACCTGAAAAGGAAATTGGATTAGAGTTGGTCATAGTGACCTGAGAGCGTGACCGCAGTGCCCAAGGGACAGCTGCTTGAGGTCGGTCACACACGACCTTTTTATGAGTGATTTTTGTGTTAGCTCCGTACTTGTTGAGTCCTTACCGCCGGAGACGGATATCCGTGGGATAAGGCGAGGTGTGCATTTTTAGGGTCGACCTTTTCTAACCCCACCCCTCCTTGTGGGAAGGCAGCATCGCTGTCATGCTGGTTGTCTGAAGGAAACACCTTACTGCTGTCACACCTCTGTACAGTCAGCAGTACGACTTCGCCTTCGGACCTTGGTTTTGTTGCTTTTAGTCTTACCGCTCTTCAACCGACCTGTCTGGCATGGTAGGACCTTGAGGAACGGTTGTTCCAGCCAGTATAGCTCAGTTGCTTCAACACGATAGGCAAGCCCGACCACCACGTCAAGGTAGCAACAACGGTCAGGAATACAAGACAACTCTACAGACTAATAAAAGAAACTGGAATTAATAAATCAAGTGTAAGTCAGACCATTTCGGAAAAAGACGACACTCTCATCTGCTCCCAGTCCAGACGCTTAGAACGATGGGCGGAACACTTTAAGGAGCAGTTTAGCTGGCCTTCAGCTACTCTACAACTACCCTCTATTCCCAGACAGTGTGAATGGAACATTGAAGTAGGTCCTCCAACTCTAGCTGAAGTTCAAAAGGCTATAGCTAATCTGAAACGAGAAAGGGCAGCTGGTCCAGACGGATTGGCCTCAGAGGTCTTTAAGGATGGTGGTCTAGTTTTAGCGATTAGGTTGACTAATATTTTAGCTAAAATCTGGGAGTTAGACGTTATCCCATCTAACTGGTCACAATCACTTATCGTCCCAATATTTAAGAAAGGGTCAAAATCATCCTGTGACAACCACAGAGGGATTAGTTTAAATAATATAATATCTAAAATACTAGCTTCGATAATTTTCGGACGCCTAACTAAGACTCGTGAACTGCAAACACGTGAAAATCAGGCTGGCTTCAGACCTGGTCGTGGCTGCATCGACCACATATTCACCACTCGTCAGGTTCTAGAACACAGGCATACTTATCGGCGTCCGACAATGGTGGTATTCCTTGACTTAAAAGCAGCGTTTGACTCTGTTGACCGAGAGGTTCTGTGGCAGTGTCTGTCATTGAAAGGCGTACCTCAGAAGTACATAAACCTTGTGAAGGCTCTTTACTCGAACACTACTAGTCGGGTCAGATCCTATGGCGAACTGTCATCTGCTTTTGCAACCTCAAGTGGCGTCCGTCAAGGCTGTCCACTTTCTCCTTTTTTGTTTAACTTTATCATAGACAACCTGATGGAAATAACGCTCTCATCGACTGACTTCTCGGGTATTGATCTCCTACCAGGAGGTCCACTTATTGACTTAGAATACGCAGATGACATAGTCCTGTTTGGTGAAGACGCTGATGAAATGCAGTCTTTTGGTAGCACTGAGCAACAATGCTAGAATGTTTGGGATGCGCTTTTCTCCCTCCAAATGCAAGTTGTTGCTTCAGGACTGGTCTGCATCAACACCTGAACTAAGGATAGGGGGTGAAGTAGTCGAACGCGTTGACAACTTCACTTATCTTGGAAGTCTGATCAGCCCTAATGGGTTGGTGTCTGACGAAATCTCAGCACGGATTCGAAAAGCTCGCTTGGCCTTTGCCAACTTACGTCATCTATGGCGAAGGCGAGATATCCGTCTATCAATTAAGGGACGAGTATACTGCGCGGCAGTTCGTTCCGTCCTTCTATACGGCTGCGAAACTTGGCCTTTAAGAGTGGAAGATATTCGTAAGTTACTAGTATTTGACCACAGGTGCCTTAGAAATATTGCGGGTATCTGCTGGGATCACCGGGTAAGTAATAGTGAGGTTAGACGCAGGGTATTAGGGAATGATGGTAAATCAGTTGATGAGGTTATGAATCTTCATCGACTGAGATGGTTGGGCCACGTGTTGCGTATGCCTGAACACCGATTACCACGACGCGCAATGCTGACTAGTGCAGGGGATAATTGGAAGAAAGTTAGGGGCGGCCAAACCAAAACGTGGCATCAGTGCTTGAAGTCACTAACTTCTGGTCTGAGCCATGTTGGGAGATTCAGACTGCCTGGTTGGGGTCCGCGTGACTATCGTAACCAATGGTTGGAGACTCTTGGCGACATGGCTCAGAATCGATCACAATGGCGTCGGTGTATACACTCTCTGTCTTCCTTAAATTAAGAGATTAAAATCGCTTCATATCTGTCTAGGAACTAATTCTTTCTTCCTTTACTATCTCCTTATACACAATCTTTCTTCTATATATTACCACCACTGAATTAACTACTCCTATGAATCCGGTGTTCATCTTGTTGTGCTAATGCGGTATGGCAACTTGGACCGATGCATATACGTGCCTGGTCCTACGTTGCAGCTGACTGACTGACTGACTAACCCTCACAAAAATGTAAGTTTATCCTTCAGAGCCGATTATATTAAGGTCATGTAGTTGGCAAGTTGATTGCATATTTTTTGCCAGGCTCAGTTTGCCTTTACCAATTTTCATTGCTTGTGGCGTAGGCGGGATGTCCGTTTGCGCAACAATCCTCACTGCATTACTATTGTGGGGGGAAGCATAGTTTTTGAAAGTAGAAATTATGGGTTGGCTTCCTATTTTTTGATAATAGGTATCTTCAAAGCGATGTTGAGGCTAGGTTTAGGCATATGGTACTTGGCAAAGGTGGAAAATCTGTTAATAAGGTAGCGAATCCTCATCATCTGGGGTGGATAGAACATGTGTTATATATCCCAAGTTCACGTACCTTCACAGCCGATGTTTGCTGGTATAGGAATGGGTTGGAAGAAGACCAGGGAGGGTCAAACCATGACTTGACATTAGTCTATAAAGACCGTGACAGTTGTTCTGAAACGTCCTTGTAGATACAGACTAAGTGGTTAAGTTCCGCGAAATAACGGCGATTAGTGGCTGGAGACGCTGGGTGATATGGTTCATAGTCATTCACAATAGTGCAGATGCATTTATTCTTTATCTTCCTCTAGATCTTGAATTCCAATATTCCTTTATGCACACCTTTATCCTCTTATCTTTCTCAATAATATTCTCAGTCTTTCATTGTTATTGCTGCTATATTATTCCGATCTCTTTTGCTATTTATCTTGTTAATTTCATCTCATCGTTCTCATTTAGTATGGGGAGTTGGAACAACACACATTTATACCAGGTTGTACGTTAATAAGGATTAACTGACTGCCATTCTCCGTGTTTTTTTATATATGTATATTTGCTTAGTGACAGTGGTAAAATATGTTTAAAAAGGAATTGTTTTTTTTATTTTAGCTAAAAAAGTTAAAACAGACTTGCGATACAGTAGAAAATTCGAATGTACAGTCTATTCATCATCATCTATCACATAGTGAAATAATTGCAACTTCTAAAATGAATGAAACCTCTCCTGTTAATCATAATGTCAATAAGGAAGATGTAATGGCTCCTGAAATAAATAACTTATCATGTAATGAAAACGATACTATGTGCTCTGAAATAGACAATCAATCACTTATTCAGGGCACATTTACTGATAGATGTGATTTGATCGCAAAAGAACGCCAACGTATAAATAGAGAATTGCGAGAGCAATTATTAGGTAGGTATTCGTATATACTCCATGTTCTCATTCAAACAATCAATTTATGATGTAATATCCTGAGTCACCTATCATCTCGGTTCACCCGCTAGCGCTGATTTATGCTTAAACACAGTATACAGTACTCTAAAGCTTACTTTTTATAATCAGATATTATATTAGTCATGAGTTTGTCTTAGTGTTCGGTTGGGTGTGCTGACAGAATTTCCTTTTAAACTGTTACGAGTAAGGAAAAACTGTGGGTTTTATAATATCACCAATCGAATTCACGTCAATAAAGTTCTGTAACATTGTAATTTACAAATAGCAATAAGTCCATATTCCACAACGTTCTACTACCTGGAGAGAACACTGAATTCAAAAACTGCATATTAACCTTCAACATGAATCCGTATACTGGCTACTAACAAAAGTCTTAGAGTTGTAAAATTCGCCTGTCACTGTTTACAACTATTTATTTATTGTTTATCTATTTGAACACATAAATATTGGTACAAGGGGGCACCAAATATATATGCGCCACACAAAACAATGAGGATTTAAAGAGAAGGGAAAAAAAGGTAAGAAACGTACGGAATTGTAAAAAAAAGAGAACAATAATGGGGGAAACGCAAAGGTACAACCAAAAGAAATCTTACAGTTAAGGAAGAAGCAACCACTTTTTATGAAAAAAGTAAAAAGTTACAGCAAAGCGCATACCATACCTACGGACACTGATTGCCAACTGACTAAGTGCGGATTGCATGGCTTGGGCATTCTCGCACAGTAAGACAATATCATCCGCATACTCAAGGTCGAGAAGTCTTTCTCCAGGCAACAGATCCACACCACCATTACTTACATCCATCAGAGCTGTTTCCAGAATGTCATCGATGGAAAAGTTGAAGAGGAATGGTGAGATTGGGCAACCCTGTCTAACTCAACTGCTCGAATGGCATAGTGGAGAAAGATGGTTGTATGCCCACACGCGGCCTGTGTTTGTATATAGGGCTTTTAGGAATTTAATAAACTTCTCAGGCGCGCCCTTCTTCAATAGACAATCCCAGAGAACAGTCCTATCCAACGAATTGAAGGCAGCCCTGATGTCAAGAAACACTACGACTGTTGGCCTTTGATAAGCATGGCGGTGTTCTAACATTTGGCGGAGGGTGAAGATATGATCAATACATCCTCGACCAGAACAAAACCCAGCCTGCTCCTGGAGAGTCAATCTTTCTCGGGTTTTGAACAACCTACGAAGTATAACGGGAGCCAATAGCTTGGACTCAATTGGAAGTAGACTTATCCCCTGATAGTTGTTACAGGAACGACGTGAACCCTTTTTAAAGATAGGGACGACTATCGACTCATTCCATGACGTTGGTACACTCTCTAGTTCCCAGACCTTTGCAAACAACGTCGTCAGTCCCTTAGTCAGAAAGTCATCACCATCTTTAAAAAGAACCGGAGGTAAGTCATCTGGGCCCGGTGATTTGTAACGTTTCAAGAGTTGGAGTTCCTTGCGGACTTCCGTCTCATTTGGTGAATCAGTCGTCACCGGCCATGGAGGGCAGGACAGTCTGACCGATGTTGTCAGAGCAGCAGCCAGTTGAACTGCCCTTCGAGGAATTCTGCCTGTCGTCCAAGACGTCGATGGATGTCAGTGATTGGCATCCCTTCATCCTCGCAGATTGTTTCGCTCACACCAGACTTCTTGCTGCCAGTGGCTCGGATGAGTTGGAAGAGCTTCCGTTAGTTACCGGATGCAGCTGCTGCTTCCAGCTCATTAGCACGCTCCGACCACCAGGCTTTTCAGTCCTTACGCAAGCTTTGCTCAACTTCACTACGTAACAGTCGTTGTTTGTGGTCAAACTCATGGTCACCCGGAGTAGACGGACGGGCTTCAATGAATTGTAAGGAGCCTGAAGAAACCCAGTGCTTATAAGCGGGACGTTTCGCGAACCCACAACAGACTTTACCCGCCATTTTCATGGCGTCATGCAATTGCAACCAATGCTCATCCATCCATACTTTTCGGTGGGATGGTAGCTAGCCTAGAAGCTAGCTCGGTTCGGTACTTACTAGCAACAGAAGTTGCAGCCATTTTGCTAACATCAATCCTGTGGTGGCGGTCACTTCGTTGTCCACAGACCAGGACGTGATCGGAGTCCAGATAGGTACTCCAAAAGGAACGGCAGTCTTGTACACAACCACGCCAGCGGTAGCTGATTGCGATGTGATCAATCTGAGTCTAGGCTTGAGATGCAGAAGGGGGACGCCAGGTGGCACATCGGCAATGATTGTGCCGAAAGTTAATGCTAGCCAGAAACAGGTTGTGGTCTGGGCATAGATGCAGTAGACTTTCCCCGTTATCTATCCTGCGACCAACAAGTCCCCATTGGCCACCTAAACGACCCTCTTCTGTGCCTAGAAGCCCGACCTGAGCATTCAAGTCTCCGCCTAGTACTACAATATCTGTCGAACGCACTTTCTGGAGAAGAACAGTTAACTGGTGGTAGAATTCATCCTTGATTGCATCCGGGCTGCAATCTGTCGGGGCATAGGTGGAGATGACGAAAAGACATCGTTTCTCACGCCGATTTCTTCTCACTTTGATGGAACTTTCTAATCTAACAGCATATAACCGACTGTTAATGGGGATCCAGTCGACTAGTGCTGCCTCAGCTCTTGCGCTTAGTGCGACACCAACGCCAGCAAGACCAGACGAAGATGCCACAGGGTCTCCGGATAAACGCACGTAAAACAAGCTTTTTGAAGTGACAGATGGAGAGCGAATTTGTAGTACTTCACCAGAGTCTTGAATACGGATCTCGGATAGACAACAAATGTCAATATTAAGACTTTCCAAAGACATAGCCAGCCCTATCTGTTGTCCGACCTGCATAAGTGTGCGAACGTTGAAGGCAGCCAGTTTGAATGGTGTACGTGGTTTCATAAAAACTGTTTCAGTACTCGTATTCGGTGGTAACATACAATTTTCAACCAGGCAGTGACCCGAGAACGTTTAGATAGAGCCGAGTTTCCACCATAGGCGAGCTGCTGTATAAGTCGAAAAATAAGTATACACAGAGTGGGAATAAAAGAGGGTGAATAAATGAAGTAGTAAATAATAATAATAATAGTGCGAGTCATTTCATTGTTAATCAGAGCGAAAAGAATAATTTCCATAAGTAGATAGTTCATCATGTTTCAGTGTGTGGGCTGAGATACTGCCCAGGTGCCCAGACCGAAGCAGGTGGTTTTTTTTAGGTGGCCACGCCCCGAGCCTTTGACCTAAAGGTCTAGTCCACAAGGCAGTGGAGCCTTGTGAGGAGATGCAGTCCTCCGGCGACCATACCACGTTGAAAGCACCGCTTTACAACCATTCATGAATATGTCAACTGGCTGTTTCTATTCTTCAATATAATAGTTTAGTCCATCATCAAAGATATAATAAAAGTATACTGTACAGACGAGCTAATCAGTCCATCGAATTTCCGATGGATAGCTTATATTTTACAGGTGATGATGACCTTGAATTACTTATAAGCCAATCAAAGAATATCATTTAGATATCAAACAATTTATAATTAGAAAAGTCATAATATTTCAATAGATAAATCGTTTTGCAATAATTAATAAACTTAAATTACTTTGAACAAAAAAGGGTTAGTGTTAAAAGCTAGTGTTAGAAGTTAGGGTTAAAAGTTTACTATACAGTTTAGAGTTGAGGTTAGAAAGGGAGAACGTTTCGTAACTATAAGGATAAAACAAAGTTTAAAATAGTACGACCTAGCTATTCAAAGATAAGTTTCAATGACATTCCATCATATATTTATTAAATCTGTTGTGTTTCTTAAATAAATACCATATAAAAAGTGTCTTACAATTACAGTAATCGGAAGAAGGTTGTCTCCAAGTTATTCACCAGTTAATGATTTCGGAGGTCTACGGTTTGATTTCTGACGCTCCATGAATGGGCACTGTCTCATACTGGGACATAACAGCTGTCCAGTTCACTTAAATAAAGTTATTAGTGCATGATGTAAATAATCCTCAGAACAATAATATTCAGATGCATCGTGTATTCTATGAAGTGAGCTTCGTATTTATTTCACAAGTTTGATAAGTTTGTTTGGATTACCTCAATCGTGATTGGTTGTCCTTGTAGGTTTCATGTTGTCCAGAACAACAATGAAAGCTTCGCAATTAAACCAGTTTAGCTCGCACAACTCAATAATACCAAAAGTATTCATCTGAGCTGTAAATCTACTCATTATTTCACAATTAATCATGTTTAAATTATGTACATTATTTGCCTTTTTCAGGTGGAAATAAATCCAGCGATAAAAAATCATTAAATCATAGTAAAAATGAAAATCTAACTCATTCCTCTGGACTTCTTCGTGAACAAGAAATTCAACGTGAACAATTAGCTTCAGAAATGCTGCTATTAACAACAGATTTGAAAAATCAATCTTCTGCAATGAGTCAACGAATTCGCCTAGATTGTGAAACTGTTGATGCTAGTATTGGACAAGTCGAGCGAAATACCGCAAATCTTCATGGTGTATTAAATGAATTATCATTAGAGCTTGGTTCCAAATGTGGTCGAATTGTATGGATTCTATTTTTTATTGCGTTAGGTTTATTTTTATATATGATATTATTTATGAAAATGTTTCGTAAACGAGTTATTCAATCAAATTCTGTTTATTCTTCTAAAACAGAGTTATAAATTGTTATAGAATGTGCACATTATTGTTGAGGTTAATTGCCCCTGTCAACAAAATAGTAGATTTTTTAATAGTTTTCGCTCCTTTGCTTCAAACTATACTGTGATATCTATTGTCAAAAGTCATGTGTAATTAGCCTCTCTTCCTATTGGCTGGCCTCCCTTCCCCAAAATCATGTAAATGCCATCTGTATACAGTGATGTTTATTTTATTTTATTGGGTTCTTTTTGTTGAAGTATAAAAGCTCTTTTGTAAAGTAAAGTCTCCTTCCTTTCCCACTTGCATGGAATTTTCATAATTGACATGTATCGTTGTGCATTACTGGCCTTTTAACATACCTAGTCAGGTTAAATACGATGTTATATATTCATATTGACTTGTGATACATTTATCAAATATATTTCTTATCGATACTAATTATTAGTACCCATTTTTTTAAGTGTAGGAATTTATGAGTGGATCTGTGGTGTATTGGATGTGAAGCATATAAATTTCAAACATTAGTTTGAAGCAAACTGTACTGGGTTCAAGTCTTGGAGTGAACATAAACTGTGGGATGCAGTAACACCCAGCTGACGAGTCCAAAATAGGACGAAATGCGCGTCCTGGGTCCCAGTGCTAGCCACCATCCATCTCTACTTATTAGTTTGAGAGGTTCGAATCTCACTGTACTAATTTGAAGTATAACAAGATAGGTATAATGAGCTCTCATACCTTAAGTTGTAGTTCATAGATGGCTGGCTACACGAATGTGTACTTGGTAAATGAGTTACATGAGTACTGGTAGGATTTGAATAATAGCAACCTTTAAATAAGAATATATATATATATATATATATATATATATATATATATATATACAAAAGGTATGACTGCCAAATATAACATACATATATTTTATTAAATGAGTTATATTAAATTGAGATTTGTATATCTACCAAATATTTCTTGTCACTATTAAATACTTTTCAAATTTCCAGGATGTTAGTGTCTCACAAGTCGTCACATAAATCTATTTATGTCTGGGGTTACTGAATTATGTAGTTCGTATATTTGAGCAGTCGCTTTCCAAGTTATGGGTGATAAGTTAAGATAGAGCTCTACCTCAGAAGATTTAGATATGCTTCAGAAAATGTAGGTATGACTTGCAGAGTAGTGCTCAAAACTGCACATGCTTTTAAGTAGTTAGAATTTTCTGTTTCCCCGAGAATACGTATCCTTTTTTATTAATTTCTGTCGAATGGTAGATTCTCGGTATGATAGACATTTACCATCCGCTATTCGATCACCTGTATCTTAGCGAACAAGGAAATACATCCTAGGTTTTATAACTCAAGGTCTAACTTGTACCCTCTGTTAATAGTCTACTGTCTGTCTACCGTAAAATTCATTACACATAACAGGAAATTCTATCATATCGTATATATAGACTTTAGTCCTTTTGACGAATTCAACTTACTGAGAGTGCAATGTAAAATAATAATAACTGAGTCACAAACACAGTGGGAAAGTACGAGTTTACATTATTCAACCTCAGTTTAAGTAACAATGGTTGATATTTGATTCATTTACATATGTCCCCAATATAATTTTATGCATTATTTAGTGCAAATATAATTATTTCATGCATACAAAATTTAATCTAAGGCCAAAAATCAGTATAGTTGGATTTTAAGTTATTTGACAATAAGTGATCATTTAGAAATGATTTTAAGGTACGTGAATATTTGGAAAAATTACTCAAATTTCACCAAATAAGTTATCGCTTCGAATCATACTTCGCTTAATCTACTTCCAGGAACTAAAGTGCATAGTTGACTCACACACAATAAACCAGTTGGTTAACTTTTAATAACCCTCGTCAAATTGGGCATGTTTAGTGACCCCAAATCTGACTCCAATTAAATCGTATGATTTGTTATCGAAATATTCATACCACCAACCCTCGTACATGATTAACGACTTAAATTGCGTTAGTGAATAACGGAATCAAATACGAGAATTAATTTTGAATTCGTTGTTGTTTGCAAAATTGAGAAAATGAAAAGCGAATGTCTGGCGTTTCAACGGGATCGGTAGATATGGAGGATCCACCTAGGAGAGTTGGAAAACCCTGCTCCACATGGACTCCAGGATCCTGAGGGAACAAATGGCGTATGAACCTATTGTTGGTCACCGGCTACCATGAAACTGCATCTTCTTACGTTGCCCCACTGCCTTGTGGGTGTGGCCCCCTAAGAGAACCGCCTGCTTCGGTTTGAGCACCCGGGAAGTGTCACAACTCACACACGTCAATGATAACTGCTACTGGCCTCATTGTTATTGTATGGCGCATATGTATTTGGTGCCTCCTGGTACCAGTGTTTATGTGTTTAAATAAAGGAATAAACAAGAGCGTACCATTGAGAGACCAGCTCTAAACTCTATGCTCTGATATACAGTGCGATGGGAATAGAATATTAATCGCAGTAATCAAATTTTTATGGGTAATGAATGCTGAAACATGCAGTTATACATGTGGACGAATAGACAGAATGAACATAGTCGTTACTAATCGCTTAGTGATGTTAAAGGCATCCACAAACATAATATGAGACAATATCGAAGTGAAAAATATGTGGTATGATAACAAAAAAATGACACCAACTACGTGAATGAGTGTAATAGTAGGATTAAAGTGATACGAAAATATTGAACGAGCTCACTGAAAGCAGGAAAATTTTACGCTATTAAATACTAAAAATAGTTCAGTGAGTCTCAAATGTCATAGTGTGAACCGAATGTTCATAAAATTAACTGGGTAAATGTCATGATTTAATGTCAATACAAACAGCAACAATACACCCACGTTAGGTGATAATATAACAAGAATTTAATATTGAGAATATAATCATAATTGAATGATCCACCAAACAGATCAGTCAGAAGAGTTGACACGAGGACAAAGTACCGATAAGATAATTTAAGTATGCCCATGTCGCTGCCGTACCAGTTTCCCTAAATGCGTGGGATTAAAGTTTGAGTTGCCTGTCAATTGAATCAGCCCCTTAGTTCGTTTATCGGATGCGTAGATTTGCAGGGTGTGTTTAGCTCAAAGTGGGACTTACCACTATACTAGTGGTTTGATGAGATAATCGGTGGGGTTATCGATTCAGTAAGCTATGTTGGGTTCGTTCGTCGAAGGTACGGAGTGCGAAAGGTTTTTTTTCGACGTAGTTTGAGGGGCTGCGTTAGGTTCGTAATGGGATTGACCAATTTAGTGTCCCTATATCTGACTCCAATTAAATAGTATGATGATGTGTTATCGAAATATACATACCGGCAACTCTCGTATATGATTAACGACCTAAATCGCGTTAATGAATAACGAAATTAAATAAGTCCAATGCGAGAATGAATTTTGACTTTGTATAGTTCAATAACAATCATCATATGATATAAATGAAGTCAGATATCGAGTCACTAAAGTAGTGAGCCCGTCGATAGGATTATCGCACGATCTAACTGGCGTCAAGATATAGGATCAATAAAGTGATGAGCCCAACGACGAACCTGACGTGATTTAAGTCGATGATTATAGACGAGGGTTGGTGGTATGTATATTTCGATAACAATCAGCAAATGATTTAATTGGAATCAGATATAGGGTTACTGAACATTAAGGTAGTATTGGAAAGTAGGTGATTTAGAAATTAACACTAGTCCACTGCTGTTACATATCAAGTAGTAATTGATATCAAAGCGATTGGAATTGTGTAAAGAAATGATGTGATTCTACGTTTTAAAGAAGTTATCAGACATAAATACAATTATCTGACCTTATTAATAACTGGTTTTATCCCAGGAAAAAAAAACTTATACCTTGGTAATATGAAGGGCTTGTAAAGTTTATTGAATTTTATAGTTAATTTTAGGTAATTACCCATTAATGGTAATAGTTCCACATTGTCATGAAACTATAATATATTAGAAATTCATTTGCCTTAATAGATAGTAACTCATAGTTTAAATGCTATCTCATTAAAACTAAAGGGTCAAGAATAACATATTTTCATCATTAACTATCAATCACAGGTTTTACATGTTTCTATGACCATTTATAATAAACTTATTCACATGGTCTAGAATTTAAGCACGATCTTATTATTGAAATTAGTTTAAAATTTTGTCAAATCTAAAATAAAATGTAACTTGACAAAAGTCAGTAATATTTATTGAAAACTTATAATTCATCATTTTCCTCAAGAAGAAATTTGTCAACAGGAAACATTGGACCAAGTTTTCATGCTACTTGGTACTCGTCAGCAATGTGTGTCTGTTATCTTAAGGGAACTGATTTCCCCTGATGGAATTGATCCTGTGTTACCCAGCTTCACAATCGGAGACGTTACCACTGAGCTATCTGGACCATGACCTAATTCCTGTAGGACTGAGATGTATTTACAATTGATTGATCAATGTCGAGTCACCTAGACTAGTAGCCACGTTGCAACTTGGTCGATAGGGTTCGGTCTGCACTAAGAAAGACCTGACATAAATGACATTGATCACTAACCAGTGATCAATCAAATGTAAAAAAATTTGGTAAGGCATTGACTCATCAGCTCTTAGAAATTATCAACTCTTCAATTCCCAACAATAAGCAGGAAGTATGGAAAGAAGCTTTATCATGAAGGTTAGTTTATGTACAGAAGATGGGAATATTTATAAAACTATATATTACTTTGAAATTACGGAAGTTTTTGGAGAGCATGTTCTTCATTTGTGACTGAGCATATTTAAACACTACTGTTTTAACATATTTACATTTTATTGTGATAAGTTTTAAAAGTTTAATTCATTCATTGTACAATACGTTTGGCAGTAATAAATTCCGAAATATTAAGATTTATTTCATTTTCTAACGATGTTACGTTATGTTAATGTTGATACCATTTAGCGGAGATCGTTATTTCATGATGACGGGATTTTGACTAATTGATACCCATATAACCGTCAACTATCTAATGGTAACCAATTTACAGACAGATAAGTTAAAGCATAAAATTGTATGAAGTTAAACTGGGTAAAGACGGCAAATCAGTTGATGAAGCTGTAAATCCTCATCGATTGGAGTGGTCGGAATATGATTACTAACTCCTAACCATACCCTACATCGATGCTAGCTAAGTTGTGCGCTGGATGAAACAAAGTTATTGGTAGATGTAGACTACCTGTTTGGGGTCCACACGACAATCATAATTAGTGGTTAGAGTAATGTCTAAAAATCAACTGCGATGGAGGAGCTATATTTGTTATTTATTACACCTGTAAATATTGGTTATTATTTCTATTTTTCATAATCTCTACTGTCAGCATAATCCAACCTAAGTCGGGATTGGGAGTAGATGACGCTGTAGCATCTAAGTCTATCTTACTAAACAGCTCAGATGAATGAAAAAAAGTTACGGTGAAGATAATGAAGAGGAAATCTTACAAGCTAATCCAATCTATTTGTGTAAATCAATTGATTTCTTTGCGCTTGTCTCTTGTTCTTTCGGTACGGTTCCAGATCTTTGGTGATGTCCAATGGATGGTAGTCTAGCCGCTTGACTTCACTAGTTCTGGTCATTTTGGTGGTTATGTGTGAGCTTGTGTATCTTGTAATCTGAATGAGTACGTCTGTCTCAGGGCAATAGGGTTTCTGTAACCAGAAGCTATCACATTACTAGGCAGGAGGTTGGTTGGCTGCAATGCGAAAAATGATAAAGGAAAGCATTCGAATCCAGAAAAGTGGAAAAACAATAATCAGAAGAATTAAATAAATATAAAAGTTAACTGATTAGTAATGGAGACAATCGGATCAGAACGAAGTGTAAAGATAAAAGGTGTACAAAGATGATGATAAGCGAGTTACGAATAAGCCGACGATATGTGACAATGTCTTAAGTACAGCTAATTCAATAGGGAGATGGTAATTCATGGGTGACGAAGCGTTTATCGTCTCCACTTGAAGATATCTACTGAAAGGGCGCATGTGAACATCGGTGGGTTAGTCTTATCTAGGAGGTCGTTAATGAAAATCAGGAAAAAAGTGGACCTAAAATGGCTTTCTGTGAAGCTCCTGACATTTCCTTGCTTTGGTGAGGGAACTTCGGTTCTCCAGGGGATTCTGGTGCAAGGATAAAAGTGATTCAGGAAACACATTGTTGTGACCTTCATCACAATGTGTGTGTGTGTGCTACTGTGTCAAATACCTTGAGAAATCGATAGATAGACAGGTATGTTTTAGTCCCACAAGGGTGTTCAGCTATCTCACTCTAGTAGACTAGTCTATTCTAAGCTGTCATTGGGCTTCATGAAGAATGTTGTATTTGTTCAAGTAGTCTGTCCCATACTAGGTCGGAGCGGCCATCTAGTGCTCCCAGGCTTTCAACAGTAGTCTAAATTAGATGGACTTATGAATTCAACTGTTAAAATTAGTACAATCTTCACAAATCCCTATTCTAATCATATTTATTTTATCAAATTATCAAGAATACAATTATAAATGAATCAGATCCACACGGCACATACACAGAACTAAAACAAGAAATTTTACAATTCAAAAATCTCTGATCATTATATTCGATACTAGTTACCCCATAACCTGCTTTCAGTCTATCCATCAACCTACACAAAAGGTCAATCGTATAACAATATTTTCAAGCCAATCACAATCAAGTACACTTATCATATTTTAATAAGATTAAAACTAATATATATATTCATAAGTTCAATGACAGTTTTAGGAGTAGGGAGCACAGATATAAAAAGTAGGGTTTGTCCATATCGTAGAATAGCTAAATTGTTTTCATATTATAAATAAAAAGTGTTACTTGATTCAGTGAAACGAAATATCAAAAAAAAAATGTTTTAATAGATAACTAAAAAAAAAAAAAAACAAGGGTAACAAGGCAAAGAGAAAATAAAAACGGAACAAATGAGTTCATGTAAGCAACATACACATACATGTCATCATAGTACAATCACTGTTATTTCCATCTCTTTTTTTGTTCTCTTCCTAACATTAAATATCAATTTACAAAATTCCTTAAAATTGCTTTTTTCACTGGAGATGGTAAGTAGATTTGTGAAATACAATTTTGAAATAATGTATTATAACTGTTATTGCTAGTTGTCAGTGACAGATCATTATTATGATATTGATGTTTAATAATTGAGTGATGCATGGTTTTCTTCAAAATATTTTCAACAACACATTTTCGGATTGCATGAAGACATTGTGTACCAAGACGAATTAATTCAGATCGTGTTGTAAATAGTAGTACATCGTGATTATTCGTACTAATGAAGAGAAAAAGAAACGAAAAATTGATAACTTGATAGCAATCAAAATTTGTTTGTTTGTTTCTTATTATCAATAAAACTATGGCTTATTTAGCTGGTCTATAGAGATCAATTCAAATCGAAGTGAACAATATGAGCTGGAGAACTAGGGTAAACGAGAAATTATTTGATGAGAAACTACAGAAATTAAAAGCTAACATTTTAGGCTTTTAATTGATAAAGCTGTAATTTTCCTACTATAGATCTCGGTTCATGTTGTCTGAATAATTTTATGAGGCAGTCAATTCTGTCGTTGGATCAATCAACACAAATCATTTATTCATTTATAATTTAAGGTTGGTTTAGAAAGTGTGTGTTTCTGACTAAATAATAATTCCGCGTGCGGGGTCGTGGATGCGCACTGCTGAGGAGTATCATACCAGGACAAAATGGCCATCCAGTGCTTCCATGTTTTCAATGGTGGTCTAATTTAAGTTAGTTCATGACTTTAATAAAACTCAACAATCTCCACAACCCTAAACTGTAAATAATAGTGTGCTGCAGTCACCAGTCAAGTATTGTTTTTTTTGTTATTTATGAGGCTCAATAAGGCACAAAACAACAGGGGAATAGCAATTGTATTAGTTATTCATTCATATGTTATCACAGTGTAAATCTGCTTTTATTATAAATTAAAGAAAAATGTGCATGATCGTAACAGCAATAAACACCTGTTTCTTTAGCTTATGATTGTTCCAAAGTGTGCACCACCTAAGGAATTGAACTCAACGAAGTTTCAAAGTCAAGGTGATACTCTTTTAAGTCAATCAATTGGAATTAAATCCTCCTCATTTTCAACTCTAATCCTTATTGTGTTATGGTTATATGATCATATAGGAACTAAGGTTATATACCAAGAGTCATTGACATATCAGCCATAGTAGTTATGGTAAAATAAGTTTCTGCCAGATTATGTGATTAGTGCAGCATCTTGCACTATATAATGCCTACATGGGTTGTCCTAGCATTTGGACAGATGAACTAATTTACCCTTCTTGAGTCACACTTTAACCTTGTCAATTATTTACCTATAACGTTGATTGTTTTTATATAAGAGGGTATGTTTATCATTGACCTTATTCATCAGATGTCTTTAGATAATTTTTGTCTGGTTAAAAATAGTGAGTCACGCTATATCAAAGAAAGTTGGCACGATTGTTTTCTCCAGTTCCTTTCGCTTCACTTTCCCACTTCTCATTTTTTTATGTCTGTCTGGTTAAATGAGTGCATGAAATGAACTCATCCACTTTAATCCGTATTTAACATCTTATTATCACCATCACTAAAACGGGGTTAGCCCAAATGTAATATACAGAGTTAAAATGGAACATTTATATTCATGGCATATTCATTCATTTTTCTTTCAAATTGGAGTCAATTCAACATAAGCCGATAAATTGGTGAGCCACCATATTATTGACAAAAAATGATTAAAATTTCTATTGTATAGACTGAAGTAAGATATATAAGCGAAGAATACATTTTTGTTCACAGTCGGGCTTTGCTCTTATACATCCAGTTACTTTATTACTACACATATGCACGACACACATTTAACTAAACAAGGAAATCTAAGATTCAATGATATGGATTCTACAGCTAAAAATTAATGGTAACGCGTTGTCATAGTTATAATAATAGTGACAGTAATAACAACATTATAATAAAATATTTCGATATTCAAAGTAGGTCAAAGCGTGAGTGGAAAAATTAGATTGATTATCAATAACATTTTAAGGGGTCAACCAGACAGTCACAATTGAAACGTTAAGGCATAAAGAAGGTTACAATAGTTGTAAACTATAAAATTCAAAATGTTCTGCGAAACGTTTGTATGTATTATTAACAATTATATATTCACCAATGACTAATTCGAAGAGGTGATTCCCGAAGCTCCACTGAGAAATAGTGGCCAGTGGTGTTCACCTACCAGTAGCATTGGAAGATGAAAATACAGTATCGTAAATTGATTGAAGTCAGACATGTTAACCAGGAGAAGCCAACTCAATAAGTTGAAGACAAAATACTAGCCAAAATACCTAGAGGACTTGAGTTACGTCCTTAGTGAGGTAGTGGATGTACATAAATGGAGAACCGCATACTAGAACGAAACAGCTTTCAAGAACTTCCCAGTTTTTAATGGTTTTCTAACTAAATTATTTTTTGTGATGTAAATTTTGAAATTTAACAATCTTCAAAAACTCCCTTTACTGAAGATAATAAAATCTGGGAAGACGAGTCAAAAACAAAATTATCAGAACAGATTGAATTATTGCATGTGTGAAATAATTTTAAAGCAGCTCACTTTTACATACACAAAGCGCTTATAGTCATGATGGTGTTGTTGCTCAGAATAATAATTAAAGCCCATCCATATCAACCGACACAACACCAACACAAAGTAACGATTTAAGCTACAAATATTTGCTATCATTTTAAATACATCAGTAAAACTTGATGAATTTCATTTGAAAGATCATGATTATATACTACGGATGTAATATGCAACCTTGATAGTACATATGATTTTAGATACCTAGGCGGATGAATATAGTACAAAACCTAAATAGCTGAGGTTATCTGTAGCGTTCTCAATGTGTTCTTATCAGTTGTTTCGATCATTTTTCGTTCATTTAATAGATGAGTGTGACACATTATGCTACAATTTTCGTTATAGATTTTGTTTCAACCGAGTTAAGGTTTTCCTAAAATGTATGTCATGGACATGTCTATGTAGAGCTCCTTGATATGCCAGATAAAAAAAACACAAATATAGTGTACATTAGGGATTGAAATAAACTATTTGATGAAAATAACACAATGATATACAGCGTTCAGTTATTAAATTCACAGAAATAAAGACAAGAGCATTGGATACAACACACTTATTGAGCATTAAAAACGTTTTTGATAAATTCAACTATTAAGTTGTCCTTGGGTTAATAATTCAGTTATACTGTTTAAATTATTCTAGATGATTGACTATCAAGTCTACAACAAAATTGCTTTGTTATAACACTTAAAAATTTAATCCATTTGTGCTTAGAAAGCCTTATGTTACCCAACATTTTTACTTTCATTAGTAAATTTAAGTTTCGACAAGTGTAAAGAGGCTCTCGATAACTTTTTATTACATATTACTGCATTGACCTTTATTATTACATAAATTGATGCTTGCATAAATGCTTGTTATGTCTTGATATTATAGTTATTGTTATAATAAACACAGTTGTTATAATATAATTTTAACTTTTTAGAATATTAAACTGTTCATGAAACTTCATGTCCTCTCTTTTTAATCACGTAAGTGATTATTATTTTTGTTAAAGTATTGTAGGAAATAATGGTCATGATCTATTGTACAAGTATATCATTCTGGTATTGGAAGACGTCTTCTTATAGTTCATAATTCAGGATAATTGTAATCTATTTCAAAGCATAACAGTACGTCATGTACTTATGATATAAGCCAATCAACACTTACCTTAATGAGTAAGCCAAAATCACAAAATAACTTGAATAAACATATATAATATTGAAGAAGCAGATTATGATAAGATATACACAATTCATGATTTAGAATTCTACATTTATTTATTTATTTATTTTAACACATAGATATTGGTACAAGGAGGCACCAAATACATATGCGCCACACAGATCTCAATTGATTTGTGTGAGGGCTGTGATACTGCTCGGGTGCCCAAACCGAAGCAGGTGGTTTTATTAGGGGGCCACACCCCGAGCCTTCGACCTGAAGATCTGATCCATAAGGCAGTGGAGCATCGTGAGGAGATGCAGTCCCATGGTAGCCGGTGACCAACGATTGGTTCATACGCCATTTGTTCCTTCAGGATACTGGAGCCCATGTGCACCATTGGTTTGGGGTCCGGTTAAAGCGCCGGACATTCGCTATTCGTCCTCTCATTTTTGTAAACAACATCCCCCCCACGAGAAGGCAGTGAGTAGGACTTCCCTAGCAGAGGCTATATACGCGTGGCCATGTGAGAGCATTTCGAGAGGGAGAGCGGACTCTCCCCACTCTCGGCCGTACCAGGGCATTTGGGGGCATATACGATGATTATGTACAATTTAGTAATACATCAACAATACATGTCCTTAATTATAAAGAAACACATAAGGACTTACGTAACAGCAACTATACGACCACATGGGCTGAAAGCTAAGCTACGAAATTTAAGATTAGTATGAGTCGGAAGTGCAAGTTCAAAATAGATCTTCAATGGAGAATTGACAGGAGCCAATGGCCATAAACGAATACATCTATGGAGAAGAGTGGGAGCAAACAAATAAATGAATAAAAAGTTGTACATTTCCGTTGTTATATTTAACTGTAAAAACAATCACTGGATTATATATGGTAGTTTTCTATTGAATAGTATTGAACACATGAGATGTTTGTATGCACGTATGATATACTGTATAAAGGAGAGGTAATAATTTTAGAATAGTGTTAGAAGTAGCAGGCGAGTTGTCACTTCCTGATCATCCATACCGTTTAAGGATAATTATTCTAAAGAAATATGGAGATAAAATTGCGTTAGGGGTGGTCATGCTGACCTGGAAGTATGATTGTATTACCCAAGGAGCATCTAGTTGAAAGTGATCATAATATGTTCTTTCTGTGCATAGTTTTAGATGCATTAACTATGCACTTTTGAGACTACTGCCTGTAACGTAAATTCGTGGAAAAAATTAAGGTACGGTAATGCTAGGACTCCTTTTTACCAACCTCCGCCTTTTGTTGTGTGAAAACAAAATATATGTAGATATTAGTTGTCTGGATGGAAATACCTTGCTGCTATTACACCCTAGTGTAGTATGAGCTCGTCTTCGAACGAGTTTTTTGCTCTTATTTTTACGAGTCTCTTTAACTAACTTGTCCGTATGGTGGGATCTAAAGGAACGAGTGCTTCAGGTAATGTGGCTCGATTGGGTCATCATGATAAGCAAACCCTACTACCAAGCCAAATTTGTAATTATGGTCAGGAGAGGAAAATCAGGAGGCTATTTGTTGTGAAGCACCATTTTTCTACTTGATTATTCTATGATTTCACGAATTACCCAGTAAACTGAACTTATGGTCTGGCATACACATGTTGTAAGTCCTTTAATCTTCAGCCGAATAGATTCAAAAGAATGGAATCAGTAACAAACTGGCTGATGCAGCTACGAGGAACGTAGAAACTGCCATATATGTGTATCAGTCGAACTTGCCACACCGTATCACTAATGAGGAATGAAATTATCAAGACAAATAGAAAAGTAGTAGAAGTAGTAACAGTATTAGCATTAATAGGAAAGATTAGGTATAGACAATATGATTCGAGGAGAATGGATTCTTGGAATGAAAACTACTTGCCTATCCTCGCAGATGGTAATAAAGTAAAAGTCATCTGGGGACAGAGATAAACCGTATATATGATGACCATTTGATCCGCCACGAAGCGGAATACTAGGCTCACGTCCCATATGCCTAAAAGAACAGAAAGGAAAACAAAGATATTAGTGATGTTTGAAGTGGATTACTATCATACAACTGAACACAAAAAGATGAGTAGCTGTTTCAATGGGTAATGTGTACTCAGACTTCCACTTGATCGATAGAATAAGGTTAACCGTAAGGTCTAGACAAACACGTCATATGCGACTATTCAATGACCAATTAATGTAAACATCTTAGTCCTACAGAACAGTCACCACCCAGTGATAATGTCAGAGATTGTGAAGCTGAATGAAGTGGGTTTGAGTCCCACAGGGAGTATAGACTCCCTTAAATTCGGAGGTATGACACGCTGGTGAATTTTGAAGAGCACGAAACCTATTTTGTCGACTACCGTCAATCATTTAACATCAGATCTAAGCTATATCAGATAACAGGTTTCAACCCTATTTCATCTAATGCACCTGAGTAATAGTAAACACCATACTTAAACTATGACTCAAATGACAGTGGATGGACATGTAATTTATGATTGCCTTGCAGGAATTATTACGAACTAACCAATAAAAGTCCAGGGTAGTGTAATTAAGTTGACTTGCCACTAATTAATGAGTGAATTCGAGTAATTCAGAGGCTTTGTGTTAAAAAAACAAGCATAAACGCAAAGACAACCGAATAATTGCCTGCTCTTATGCAAACTATGTTGGTAGCATAAATCAATCCAAACCGATTCAAGATCAATTCTTAATTAAACTTTTATTATTAGTAATATACCAAGATAATAAATATTGTTTTGGCCTACAGATTTCAATATGAATACTGGATCATTGTGCACTACCGCTATTTGGTTGACTTACTGATGACTATGCAAAAAAATAAACAGCATGAAGGTTATGAGGAGTTGCTTGACAAAAGCCACATCAAGACCCTTGTATGCCCAGCGAAATATGACTAGGCTACAGCCAAACCATCCGGCAGACAGGTCGCCGAATGTCCAACGGTTTGCTAATGATCGTCAAGATCATGAACAACCGTCACGTATCAATTAGTTACATGCCATGGAAAGGGGCATGCGGCAGTGATTCCGCCTTTTACTTCTATAGCCTGCTAATACTAATATATGCTGTCGCTTATTGAGAGTATTTATTCTAGCCAGTCACTTAGGAAGTTGATTCGTCTGGTTATCACGATGGCATAGTCCAGGTTAAGTATTAACTGTGAGACGTTACTTCGATGTAAACTAGGTCACACCACTCTTATCTAACTGGAGTAGATCCACAATCATTGGCATAGATCACCTACATTGATGATCTACACCCCCGAATAAAAGATTCAGAAAGAAACTGAGTTGTTACAGTGAAAAAAAAAATTAGCTTTACGCTCGGAAAATAAGATCTAGTTATATGTCATGATAAGCTTATAAAACTAGATACACATTTAAATTTCATGACTATTCGAAGTCATAGTTATCAATACTGAACTGTAAATTCACTTTAAATTTAAATGCTGCTTATGTTTGAATGTTCCATTGGGAAAAATAATATTGTTTGCTCAAATGATTTTAGATTTCGAATGGTCATTAGTTTGCGTCGGATTTCTCATCATAAAATAGTAAACTACTTGGTGTACAACTAGATAAATAAATCACTGTATTTCTGCAGAATCATGCTTTATGACTGATCAAAAGGACAAAAGAAAACAATACGAAGCTCTATTTTGGTAAATTTAGTCAATATCGGTTATTATATCGATATAAATTTAGCCTTCAAAGTTATGCATAGAATCCTATCAATTTTGCCTTAAAGTTTCGGAATTTGTCTCTCGAATAGAGCAAAAGTTATAGGGACACAAATAAATAAACCCAATTTTTGTATTTAAAAAAGTTTTGTACAGGCTCTCAATATACCTTGCCTGCTACTTAGTTACTCTTACCATTTTTTTTCAAAGTTAACTGTTAATCAATTCGTAAGTACTCATTCTATTACAATATTTCGACTACTTAATTTTCTTTATATCCGTTTTTATTAATTACGTATTTCATTAATTTTACAAATAATACTAAACTTTATACTGAATTACTTAATTTCAAACCTAATTTTTACTTTCAACAGTTGAGATCATGAGTCAATTGAAGCTAAACCACCATAGGAAACCTGGAAGCACTGGACGGCCGTTCCGTTCTAGTATGGGACTCCTCAGAAGTGCGCAACCACGATCCTGCCTCCTGAAAGATTCGAACTCAGGACCTATCACTTTCGCACGCGAGCGCTCAACCATTAGGCCACTGATAGTTTCACTGTATCAAACACGTTGCTCGTCGAGACAGACAAAAATGAACAAATACCCACCTTATGTTACCACCAATTGTGTTTATCAGTGTACACATTTGTGCCAAAGCACTCACATTCGAAGAACAGAAAAGAGGGTTCTTGTTCACATCTCGGAACACAGTACATTCCACAATAATTGAGATTAAAAGGTCAACGTATTCCCAACAATGCCATCGAAAATAATCAATACCGAAATAATTTCCAACCTACTACGTGACGCCGAAGCCATCTCAATTTAAGAGTTGGGAAGAAACCTGTATACTAAAACGGATACAGTTGTAAATCTCTCACTATCCTGGTAAATTTTATTTTTCATGACACAATTAAGTCACGTCTTATTTCATATTCACAATAATGAATCCCTTTTTGATTCTCAGGTCTTTCTGAGCTTTACTCATCTGACTCTACCATTCTATCAAACAGCGTGGTTGTTATTACGCAGCTTTTACATCAATATTCATTCTCTAGAAACGTGTCTGAATACTTTTTTTAAAAAGATCTTCTACAATCTTCACATTAAGTGACATGAAAAAACACTTCTTTATGTTACCACTTTATAATACTTCCATGCCTGTTGTTATTATTCTACTAATTTTCACTGATATGACATAGAGTATGTATATTGGTTATAGATAATCATCAGCTGATGAAAATTCACGAAATAAATGAGTTCATCTTATTCTGTTATGCTCTTTGTTATTGTTTTATTCAGATTTTAGTGAATACTTATATATCGGCAAACGTCATTGTAATGCAATTACGTGGATTGAATGTGGAAAAAACTCTTTACAGAATAGTCTAGCTTTATTCCTTTCTTGTGTGCGTGCGCATGGGTTAGGTTGAAATGTCCCCACATTTTCTATTCGTCGGAAATTCAGGTGATATGTTAAATCTTTACCTCCCTCCTAACAGCCTTTAGTTTTGTCTCATCCCCCCCCTAACCTTTGCCCAAGAGTTTGAAACTCAAGCGTTTTAAGTTCATCAGTGTTAAGCACTCAAACACTTGCAAGTAAATCGCACAACAAGACACAACATTAACTGTTGATCAATATGTTTGGGAAATTACTTACCAGAAACGATGTAAGCATTGATATTCCGGTACAGACCATACAGCACAACATGAATCATAAGAAGCAGTAATTAATAAACTACCATCTTTCGAAAATTTTGCAACTGATATTCGATGATAATGACCAGATCGTATGTAGGCGACTCGAGAAAAAGGAGATTCAGCCTTGACAAATAAAAGAACCAAGGTAAGATAGGAATAATGGGTTCACATTAATTATATCAACTTACTCACCAGATACTGCGGTATGAGCCACACTCTGAGTGTAAGGGTTAATGATAGTAGGTGAGTGAAACTTAGAGGCTACAAATCGAACGCCCTAACCTCTAATCCACTACTCCAATGGGTACAATGTGTTCACTGTTACAACTGCATAAACTGATCGGCAAAATTACGGTAATCATTATAAGGTGATCGATAATCTAATCCTAATCGAAGAAATACAGAATATGTCACCAACATCAAACTGACTAAAGATGATGGACATTTACACAATTGTTTGCGTCAATGAATTATATATTAGATAGCAGAGGAAGAGATTAATGGAGAATTCGAAATGAAGGGCATAAGGAATTATCATTAATACTACTATTATTAACTCATTACCAGGCACGGATTCTTTACTTGGCTACGAGCCACACATTGAGTGCAGTCGCCCAAACTAACTAGGTGGAGTAATGTGCAAACCTGGGATTTAGTGACCGCTAGTCGAATGCGTTAACCATTAACCCAAAAAGTAACACCACTAGATTATTACACTTCGTCCTTAGTTGGATTTTAGTGAGATAGAAAAAACAAAGTATCAACTGTTTAAGGAATGATGAACGACTGACCAACTATTTATTTTTGTCGTTACATGTGTGGCCGTTAAAAATACAAACCTAAGTGATATAGATATGCACATCGAATAGATATTATTACCGATTTCTCATTTTTGATTGCATGTCCACAAGGAGAAATCATGTTTCTTCATGAAAAAAAGTGAAACCTGATAATTAGTTTACATCAGTGACTACATTTATTTGGTACAACAATATGAACAAATACATTTATTGTGAAATGTTCTATTTCCAAATATTTTATTAGAATCTGTTTCAGAAAAAAGTGAACTTTTAAACTTGTTCCCTTAGGTCCCATAATGCTAAGCAGGTCAGTTGGATAACAGTTAGACTAAAAGCAACGTCTAGTCGGCGCATCCGTACTGTTGACTGTACAAGGGTGTGACAGCAGTACAATGTGTCCCTTAGAGAGCCAGAATTTACAGCAATGCTGTCTTCCATCAACCGAAGGAAAGAGTTATAGAAGGTCGACCCTAAAACTGTCACACCTTAGCTTACCGTATGGATTTTGGTTTCCAATGGAAAGGTCTTTCAAATGTCGAGATAACACATCAAAAACCTGCTATAAAAATGTCATGTGTGACTGGTATCACGTATTTGTCTCCTGAGTTCGGTGATCATCCTCCCAGGTCACTGAGACTACTACAAATCCATATTCCATTGTAGGTAACCCAAGAAGAAATATCCCTCCACAGTATGGCGGTTGGAAAGCGAGAAATACTCTTATAGCCCCAGCAACACATGGCACCACTTCTGCCTGTCTTTTAACCTTAAAAAGAACGACAGAAAAAAATCAAGGTTAACCATCTTACGTCGAGTACAACACCATGACCTCTTTCACCAGCTAGGAATACATGCCTGCCGAATGGATGCCAAGCAAATGTACATGCTTCACCTTGAATTTCACTGCATGGTTGATCTGTTGGAATAGTGAATTTATGTTGTAATTTCCCGTACATATTACCATCATCCCATAAATCCCATAATCTCACTTCACCACCACGATGTACAGAACCAACACGAAGACTTCCGTCTATAGCAGCTGAGAGGAGATATACAAGGGTACAATCATCTGTCAAGACATATTTGGGGATATCTATAGAAAAATATAAGAAAACATGAACTCAAAGTTGATATGTATAGTTACCAAACTTCAAAAGAAACACAAGTTACAATGATGTAAAATACTAATTTATCAACAAGTCTCCATAAAGAGGTCAAAAAGAATTTGTTTAACAAAATTAACTGTATAGACCCTGGATAGGTTGTTTAGATCTACTAACATAGTTCACTTCAGCTATAAATAATTCCATAAAATGATGTAGCGTTTCGGCTTGTCTATGACTAGCCTTCTTTCAAACTACTCTCACTCCAAATTATATTGTGCACCAAGAAAAGTAGTGGTTGGGCATACGAATATATATCCCGAACACTTCGATCGGTGAAACTTCACAGCCTCATCAACTGATGGTCAACAAAGCGCGCATGGAGAGTGTAGTGGTAAAACAAAGCTGATCTAAAAGATGTGATGTTCATATGGAATATCATTACCATAAATGAAGAGCTGAAATATTTTCTTATGTGGCTTAAGATTCAGTTACAATCTCATTTTAATATAAGCCTGGGTGAAAGACATGTTCTTTTGCAGTCAAATATAATATTATAAGGGAAGTGTGGTGACGAGAGGTGTTCGAAATTTGATACTAATACATTGTGTGCTATACGCTAAACCCCCAAACTAACTACTTTAGGAAGAACAAGAGTGACCGAGGAAGTGTATCGGGCTACCGAATGAAATGTACAGATACTCATTCACATATATACCACTCTATCCTTAGGAAATCGACCCACTGACCCCAATGAAATGTATTTGACTACTAGGCCACTTCTGGTTGCCATCGATTGACATTTTTCTACTTCTGATTGGCTCTCCATTTCAGAAAGATCATAAGATTGGCATGAAGACAGGTTTTAAATTCTCGAAAATGCATTCTTAAGTTTTGGTTATTAAAACATTTATCATACTAATGTGCTTAGAATGATTTATCATCATCTTCAGGTCCGTCCTGGTTCATTTGATTACTATGTATTCAAAATTTTGTTGTACTTCTATTATCACTACACATTTACTTGACCTTAACTTGCTTTTATATAAAACTTCTTAACAAGTAAATTTGTTATCAGAAGTTTTGTGGAGATTTTGAGTAATTTCAATAGTTGAAATCATGAGTCGGTTGAAGCTAGACCACCATGGAAAACCTGGAAGCACTGAACGACCGTTTCGTCTTAGTATAGGACTTCACACCAGTGCGCACCCACGATCCCGCTCTTGTGATAACAGCTCACTGAAGACAATGGTGACGGTGGCGCGATTTCGTGGATTGGTTGAAGTTAGACATTAACACCGTTAGATGTCGGCTCAATGGTCTAATGGTCAAGAGCTCGCGCTCAAGACTGATAGGTTCTGGGTTCGAGTCCAGAGGGGGGTGGGATCGTGGGTGCGCACTGATGAGGAGTTCCATACTAGGACGAAACGGTCGTCCAATGATTCCAGGTTTTCCATGGTGGTCTAGCTTCAACAGACTCATGATTTCAACTATTGAGGTGAACTTGTGACCAAGTTTCTCTAAAATGTGTTTTGAAGAAATAGATTACATTTTTCAAAAAATACTTTCATGAACTGATATTATATCGTCTTGTTTTAGCTGCCTACAGGTTTCTTTGAACTTATTCCACACGACTACTGCACGTCTGGGATGTAGTAACTGGGATGTGTTATTTAAGTCTAACCCTAATTCAGTTGAACAAAGTCTACAATCTTATCTTAAAAATTGATATTAATCTCAGAACTACTTAATCGGTTGTTCTGTTAAACGCAAGCAGTGCAGCGGAGCACTTTTTCCTCTTTGTTTCTATGGGACTTTATATAGCTTTATAATCGAACTAAATGTACGATGCCCAAATGTATAACGAGGGGTAAAAAATGGGTGAAGTATTTATTGTAAGTGAATAAGTCTTTTACTCATTTACAAACTAAAATACAAGAAATCTAGCACCTAGAAGATGAATAACAGTTTTCAGTGTTCAATTTTCTTCGAGGTATATACATACGATTAAGGTAAAAGTAATTTTACAATCTTTTACAGATATCAGTACATAAAAGTGAACACAACATACCGAATTGGTTGAAGTTAATTGAGAGATGGTATGACAGGATAAAAAGGCTAAATTATATTTTTAACTTATCGTGATTCTTATTAAACATTACTTTCGTCATTTTAATTCTATATGATGATTATTTAGTGTGCTATTTTATCCAGTTTAGCGTTGATCTACTTCAGTGTGATATTTATTTAGGATATGATATTCTCTGTATAAAATTAACATGGACTATGTTTAGCATGAAATGCAACATAAGATTTTGCTATAATTTTATGTATGTGACTGTTTACCAATTGATGATCAAGTATGTGTAAATGAGTGTATTTTCGACTCGAGTCAAAAACGTGTTTTCGGTGTGAATAAACCTTAACTTATACCAGTCTTTCATATTCTTGCTTTGAGTCATGGAACTTGTAGTGGTTCCTCATTCCACGAATAAGTAATAAGCGACTCAGACATAACAAGAAATTACAGAGAACTCCTCTATTACGAAATCAAATCATACGCAGTACGAAATATACTAGGATATATGAAATGAAACCATCATGTTTACTGAGAAGACAATTAGAATATGTAAATCAAATTAGCATACTAAAGAACAAAAACAAAACTTACGTGGAGAACTTGATACTAGACTAAATACATTATAAACTTCAATAACACCAGAAGCTAAACCCAACAGTAATAATGAAACTTGTGATTCACGAACAATAGACGATCTACGCTTATTTGCACGGTGGGGCAATCGACAAAATGCACTGTCCCCAGAGGCAAATGTCATACTAATCACATCTCCGTTAGTTTTTATACGAAATATTGGTTTCATATTTACAGGTAGTGCATCACCATGTAACAGTTCTGATGTTAATATTTTCCAGTTATTACTACTATCTGTACAATTCGCATATAAATTTAATGATTCTGTATTGTTAATAATTTCATCTGACAATAAACTAGATGTTTGACAATGAGATGATAAAGATGGTTTGAAATTATTTTCATCCAAACACGTTGATCTATGTAGAGTAGCACAAAATAATAAACCGTCAAGCTTGTTATTATGGAGGGCTTGTGGAGATTATCAAAATCTAAAGTTTACATAACGGGTTGACATTAGTTAGATAGTAAATGGACACGAGGAAGAACTGCACAGGTGTAATTAAGGTCAGTCTAGTGTGTAAAAAATAAACTTAGCGATTTATTATTGTTATTATTACTATTCACCAGAACAATGGAAGTCTTTAATATAAGTTAATACACAAATAATGCCGAATCTCATTCAAGTCTTTGGATATTTTATTCAGGTAGTTTAATAAGGAATTTTATCAAATTTAAGAGCAATATTCGCCATCAATTAACATTAAATGAAAAAATGAACATTTAGGGGGACACTGAAGGTGACTGAAAATTCGATACTGTGTGAAGTCATGTGTCCTATAAGTACGATAAATCAGTTGTATACCGCCCAGTATTCACTGGTTCTGCAACTGAAATTGACTAGTCTTAGAAAGTACATTTAAAAATTTTTAGTTAAACATTTTACAGTAGCTACTTGAATCGTTAAATCGATGGGCGACGTAAGATAGAGTGAGTTAATGTAACGGATAAAACCGATGATAGTTGTAGAAAGTAAAAGAACGGTGTAAACGCATTATTGAATCTCCATTTATTTTTGTATTTATTGGCATAACAACTTCCATAAAATATTCAATTATTTCACCATGTGATGTTGAATCTAAGTTTACAATGGTGATACTACATAGCTACAAGTATATGTTGAATATTGTTGTGTAAATTCTGCACCAAATAGTTTATGTATTTAACTTTGATTCACCCCGTTTGTACGAGAGTGAATGATAATACTGACCAACAGCTTGAACTAAAAAGGGGAATCATCCAAGGGAAAGCATTTTTTAATTTTTCGAAACACGTTTATCATATTGTTTAGCAACAGTGACTACTTAGAATTAACAAACACTTTAGCTGAAATTTACACGAACATTATTGTTATAAAGAATATGAAATTTTGCACAAAAGGAACTCATGAAAACAATCCTAATATGGAGGTTATATACAAGAAAAAAAACATTTAACTAGGGGATAGTTAGAGCATATATATACATATGGGCCAGAAAAACTTACAGTAAGTCATTTACACAATAACCCAGGACAATCTGTGGCTGATCAACAAAGGCGAAGAATCGACCGCAATTAGAAAAACTGCAACTCGTGATATTATTTTGGTGAACACCATGGTAGGCTATTGTTAAACGTAAGGGAATTTCATTAAAATCTGTACGCGAAAAGAAAACACGGTGGTATTTTATAAAATAATAAAACTTCTGAAATGTTAAACGATAAAATGAAAGGTACATTGATCGAAATGATTTACTAATGGATGAAAAGATTAGTAAAGATAGATGTATTCAGCGATGGGATTAATTTCTTTTTCCGGATTTGAAGGCAATTGAAAGAAACTTAACAAGAAATGACTCATTAGGAAATAGATTAATGATAAGGCTTAATGTGTTTAATCTTTGGTATGCGAAGTAACACCATAGACAGATAACGCTGCACCGAACATAGATACAATACTGAAATTAGAAGCTCCTTTGTTCAGTAATGAAACAGTGGAAGGGGCCATGACATACAACGTCATTTCTATTTTTATGGACTGATGTCGAAAACTGATGCCTGACAAGGATGCTGGGCTAGTGAGAATTTATTAGCTGAATCGTTGAGTAGTTTCAAATATATTTTTTAAAAGAATGTCTAATCGTGCCGCTTAGTAGTACATTTGTGACTAATAGATTGAAAAGTGTCTTTTGTAATTGGGATGACGCAAAAATTACACAATTTTTTTAGTTTTCATTTCATAAATTTTCTCTCGCTGTGTCGATTTAAAGTGTGGTAGTTTAGATTGACGCACACTTATCTAGTCTCAGGTTACCTGTAATCAACTAACACCACAAAATTTGGATAAATAGCTTAGTGATAAGAGCGTTTGATTTCCAACCATAAAGCCACGAGCTCGTATATCGCTCCGCCCATTTTATCGGAGAAGCCAAGTAGTACTACTAACCTCTGGATGTGGCTTAAAGTCAACTATATAAACTTGAGATTCCAAAATCAGTAAAATTAATTATCGATTGGGGTCATAAATTTATAAAGTAACTATCTTTATAGCCATTAGAATAAGACGGGTTTCAAGTGATATAATAGCAGTAATGTTCATTCTAGTCCTTCGATTTGTAATCCATAAATCAGCTGATTGGTCATAAATATGTACTACTGAACATTACATCAACAAATAAAAGGGTCAGGGTCTCAATCCCTATTAACCGATTAGCCATCTTATGCAGATACTCTATGTAAACTTAACAATAACCAACGGGTGAATCTAACAGTGAACTGGCACATACTACTGTGAAAAACTTTTAATTCACCGAAACATTACGATGTTAACAGAAAAGATGAGATTTTTGAATTATCGTTATTTTGGAGAAGCTAATCATTTCGTGGACGGAGAAGCAGGCTTAACACTCTATACAACGTTAATAGTCACAAATGAAATATTCCACCACAATCACACTGATATTTTAGTGGTAAAACTATTCTTCAATACGATCTCAACTACTATTTGCTCGACTTATTTTTCGTTAGTATAATAGATGATGACCTTAAGATTAATAGTTCGGGTATTTCGTAATCCTTATCGAAACACTTTAAACAATAATTTCTCTGCAGTCTTTTTAAAACAGATCCATCACCTTGCTGTACAGTCGTATATAAATGATAAGAGACTGGATTCCATGTTTTTAATGTTTAAGTGTTATTGCCAAAGATGTCTCAAAATGGTGTAACTAAGTCTAAGATTGGCTGTAAAACAAGCCAGAAATTTAGGAGCGAATAAAAATAAACGTTATATTATGAACCCACAGTTTCTTGATTCTTAAATTAAAAAGATTGGTGTATTGGATACAACTTGAGATAAACGAAATCCCCCAAAATGGACCTCTGACTGTCACTACAATATGAACAAATTTTTAAAATTATTCCTGATGCTGAAAATAAGCCAGAGAAGTTAATGAAGAAAAAGAAAAAACCAACCATTGCCAACCATTCGCGAAAACCACCCAAAAGTGAATAGTGGCCTTGTGATTATAAACCATCCTCTTCCAGTCTCCAATGTCCAATATTCAGAGCTTCTTTGTGAAAAATAGGTCCAAAAAAATGAAGTAAATTATCCTCTCACACTGATTCAAAGTTACTGTCCAAAATAATTATCTGGATTTCATTGTGCTACAGCAACTGCTTGTTTGCTACGGACTCAATAGTGCCGACTGATTTCAGTTTTAATTGTTTTTAGGAAGGAAATAGAAAGTAGATTTGCAACAATGAAGTTACATAAATCCACGAGTGTCTTGAAGCCAGCAGGTTGTGTGACCCCCTATGTCAAGTCATTCAAATGGAATTAGAAAGATACTGAGTTTATAGAGAATACCTAGAAGTTCTTTCAACTCCCTATTTGTTACTATTTTCCTAAATGATAAGATTGACAAAGTTATCTGTAATACATAAAGACCGGTCTTCAAGTGATCGCTCATAAAAAGGCCGCTTTTATATGTTCGCTATGGTCCATCGTATAACCGTACAGAGTCCTGTGATTTCTGAATATTATTTAACTGTAGCCTTCATAAAATTGTTATAAGAAATGCATTCAGGAGTTTCTTGGCATACTAACAACCTTGGGAAAAAAATCACTTAAAAAGTGCTTTCCATATACTAATCATTAAAGGACTACTGCAATTTACATGTCACAATCGTTAATAAGGATTTTAATATAACTTTTAGCCTACTTATTATGGGGATTTATTCACTGTAACGGCTAACTGCACACACTATTGTAGTAGAGATTGCACTAAGACGCCGTCACATACAAGTTTGAAAGCAATCAACGTGTGATTATTAAACACTCTCTTGATAGTTCGATTTTTCCAACATTCTTCGGTCGTTTTTCGTCAACCTAAGGAGCCCTGTGGTATATAATAATAACAAAAACATATGATAAAAAGTGCGTTTCCCTGTATTCATCTTCGGTCTTTGGTATTTTTCCACTCGTCCTGGGAAATAAGTAAACGAAAATGAAAGTGCATGCAGAACTACATTCATACTTGGTAAGGAAGTCAAACCTCCTGAAGAATAACTTGCTATACATGTGCATAAGTATTGCGCAACGGAGACATACATTTCGTACGAAAACGTTTTCTTTGTGGAGAATAATGTAAACAGAACTAATAATTTTGAGGATTTAACTACTGGTACAAAGGTATTCTTGGGCATGACATCTGAATAATAAACTTTCACACTTATGATTCAATGATTCGGATCTTGTCCGACGAAGAATACGTAGTTTCGAATCAGTCATCCACAACCATTTAGAAGCTCGTTGAGTGCGAAAAGCTCCTTGAAAATATCTAGAATGGCTTAAAATACTTTTTGACGAACAAACGCTATAAGCACCTATATTTTAACGATAAGAGAGTATTTGGCCTACTACTACGTCGTTCATTATATGATAATCAAAGCTCTCTTGATACTGGAGACTGATCACAGATGGCATATTTCAAGTAGCAATGGCTTACACATATGATTAAACTCCCGAATCTGTTATCAGTAGGTCTGCAAGATTTTAAAATTTCACCGCCATGTCTTGCGAATTTCACATATTTCTAACGGTAAATTCGCTCAGAAGCCATTTCGATATTCAATAGCATCTAACAGGATGACAGGATAGCAGCCTAGTTGGCATTTTAATGTAAGCGCTTGAAGAGAATGTGTTTGCTAACGCAGTCACCTTCGGGGTCATGAGAGCATGGCATTCATATTTTCCGAAGTGCCTATGAGCACTTACTTCAGTGTTTCCGATAAACAGCCGAATTTGCTGAATTACCATCTTGTTATCTCCTTTAGATGCTGACTTTACTGTCGAATTTCCTCTAATAAAGTGAAGACCACATTTCAAAGTAATACCTCATCAATCCTAGTGCTTCGCTAAAGCAAAGCCTTTGCTTTTGTAAGATTACTTCTCTCATTCTATTTTCCTTCATAAATGTGACTGTTTCCATAAAGAACATTTATCACAATGCCCGTGTAACAACATGACAAGATGTCTGTTAATTTTTTCAAGCTTGTGAAACACTTTATGGTACCTGTGAACAAAGTTTTTAGTTGCATGATATGAAATTCAGACAAGAAAAATCTTAAACATCAGAATTAGCTGACAATAATTTGAGAATATTTTTAGAACATTATAAAGCGTAGAAAATGAACCTAAAGATGCCACAGGTGTTCAGAGTTCGACAGCGTCTTTTCACGCACCTTTACAATCAAAGCATACCAACCAAATCAAATCAGAAGTCAGAAGTGAAGAAGTATGAACGATTTCAACTAGATGTGTAGAGTAAAAGTGATGAAGTCTGCATCACTGACAATTACTTACAGAACTATTTATTCTAGGTATTCATCTACTTCGGCAAACTGCAAACATCCACGCCTGACACTCCGGACTTATCACGCTCATATATAACTGATATGTTGGGATGAAAAGTCAAAATTAGGTTGATTTACTCATAATGATTTTTTTAAACATTAATTCCGTTCTAATTAAATGTGATGATTACTCAGTATAATATTCCTTCCTGTTTTCCAGTATGACATTTTATTCTGTATAACATACGATATACTTGTATCAAGTTAACGTGGACTCTACTTAGTATATAATTTGTTGAAACTAAGTATTTTTAGTATATGTGATTTTGTTCTCATTATTAATCAAAAATGGGTGCATGAATCAATATATAAATGAGTGTATTTCCGACTAGACTTGTCGTGGTTGTTCGTGCTTCTAGATGCTTGAGAAATATATTTGTAACAACTTAGGTTGATTGGTTAAGTGTTAACATCAAACAACCAAGTATATGTGAAAACAGTATAGTTCAAGAATTCATTCACTTTATTTTATATAGGCGTCATATTTGCTATTATGGTGTACTGAATGTTTAAAGACTTCGTTTGTCAGAACAGGTAATCCAACACTACTTTGTGACTGTGCGATCTAAATAAAAACCTATTCACTACTTGTCTACTTTCTTCTATAAATAGTATGACGGTTACCTACAGGCAAAAAATATTCCCATTTTCGAACTTGGAATTCTCTCTCTAATCATCAGAACTGGGACGAGTTGGAATAGCTAGCTCAACTGTCATTGTGTCACAGAGTCTTCCTTCCGTTTTGAGACTAGGTGAACTCGTAATCTCTTCGAACTTAGTTCATGTTAACCTGTAGTGACCTACTTTTCTCAACAGAACGGGATTGGTTCGATGAAAACAATTATTATTATTATAACCAATTGTACCAGTGACTGTTTTACTGTGCTCGTTTGTTTAACTATGCTAATGACAGCCATTATACTCACTCTCCCATTGACTTTGAACTCGGTTACGCTCAGTAACCACGCTTGTACTCCTTTGGCACGATCTTGATATTCTTTCGATACCACGAGATCGCCAGCAAATATATCTCGACTACAGCCGTCATCTGTCTTCTGATTTTGGCGTACGGGAATTTTATTGGTTTACTGGCACGTAGTCTCGTAGCGGTGTTCATAGTCAAGCTTAAGTCGACACGACGCTACAAACCCAGTAATACAATATCGTATGTTATACAGAATAAAATGTCATACGGAAAAACAGAAACGAATATTATACTGAGTAATCATCACATTTAATTAGAACGAAATTATTGTTGAACAAAAATCATAATGAGTAAATCGATCTAATTTTGAATTTTTATCCCGTCATATCAATGACCATCACCTGTTTTGATTTTGGTAAGCTATCAAGAAGTACTACAACCACATAATTAGCATCTGCAGTTTTTTCTCAGGTTATTTTAGAAGCACAAGAAAACTGAAGTCCAACAAACGTATGTTTATAGCTTACAGAACTTTACCAATTTTAAAGATGCGTACAATATTTTGCAGTTTCTTTGGCAAATAACTTCAATAAAACATCTGTCAGAATTGTGCGCAGTCCAGTATAAGGGGATATTCAGATGCAATCTAGGAGAAGTAGATAATACTCACATCATTTGATGGCGACTAGCTGCATACATATATCTTGATTCAGCTATCAAATGATTTATAACTAGAGAATATTTCTTTTACCATAATGCAACATTATTAAGATCACTGTTAATTATTGATACTGTGTGTTATGTCCAAGTTTTGCTCGTTCCAGTTATTGAGGTACGGTGTATCGATCTACTTGCAAATTGCGAACCCAAATAAACAACAGAACCAAACTCCAATTTAGATACCAAGTTAATTCTCAATTCACAAATAGTCGATCAAATGTCGTTCTAACAACAATAATTATGACAGTTACAAACAAACCAATGTTTTAGGTGCTCGGAGCAAAACTCCAAAGTACCAAACCAAAGACAAAAGAAACCAAAATGTCCAAAAATAATGATATAAACAAACAAGTTCAGAAGTTGAGTAAAACAAATGCATCCAAAAAACACAGTAAAATTATGAATCTAAAATATAAAGGTTGTAATCAGCCGAATGTCTTTAGTTCTCCCGTAACACTGTACATCTGTATCCCATCAGCTTATGACACAACAGAAGTACAGACACAAATCCCCATAATAATATAAATAAATACTTCAGTTGTTGCTGCCTGTAACATATGTTGAAATTAGTTAATCAGGGTAAAGGAGTTCCCATTGTAAACTTCTGCTATACGAAAGCTGAATATCAATCTCAATCCTGGCATATTTTATCACTAACAATACTGTAAACTGAGGGTAATATGCTGAATAGAACTAGATTCCAGTTAACCATAGTTTCGTGTGAACCTAAGACAGAAAAAGCCGCTCTTATACATATCAGATCTTTAAACAACCAAGAATGTTCCATTGAAATTGTCGTTAATACCTTCAATTCCGTATTTGGTTAAGGTACATAGAGAAACCATTTTTAATTTGGCGGATTCAAAACTATCTTAAGACAAATGATGTGAAATGATCGGTTGTTGTGTTAAAGTATCTCTGGACAAAGGAATATGTAATAGCTCCTTAGATGGTGGTTGAAGGTAGTC